TGCTATGCATCTGTCTTGGAGAACTACCATTGCAGGCTCCTGATATAATCAACACAGAAGGGCAGAGATGCACAGACCTCCAGGTAGTGATTTAGTTCCCTTCAGATCTGCATTGCCCTCTGAGTTGTCAGTCTCTACTTACTGATAATAAAGGGAACTGCAGCATTGAGATGCCTTCTTTTCCCTAACCTTATGTGGGATTAATCATTTTCTGTTTGGTTGGGGTTTTTTCTGTAACATGGTGTTCCAAGTCTGAAGGTCTTGGTTTGTCTTGTTGGACTAGATCATTGTCTGCATTTGTTTTCACCCTTACAAGCAACTTATTCATACTGTTTCCTCTAGACAAGAATTTTGACATGTAATTGGCACTGAGGCTACAGTACTGGCATACTAAGTTTATTCTGTAAATCAGTGTGTGGAAATGTCCTAATTTTCTGATGTTGAAAGCACTGAAGAAGTAAAAAATGTTAAGACTGACCTCAGTGAGCTTTCAGTGAAGACATAACCAAAGTTTGTGCAGGCTTCTTAGTTTTCAGTATGAAAAAAAATAAAGGTCCAGCTCAGTTTGTAGCCACTTTTTTCACTTTTCATTATTCTAAACTGGTGCTATATGACTAACACTGTTTCAAAAAGCAAAATAAGTCTTAATAGATGATTCACTGTGTCACAGAAAGATGCCTGAAATAGTCATTCACTGTTATTTGTCTTCTTGTACAGTTTACAGAAATAATTAGTATTCCATTTGACAAACAGGTGCAAATATCCATTAGCTAAATGACACAACATACACTTTGACTAAATCTGTAACTTTCACTAGAAGTCTATCAATAGTAGCTGCTGAACAGTGTCATATGGGAGTACACATCTTTGAGTGTATGTTTAATTGCTCTGGTTAGGTGGCCACCGAGGTATTTAAGGAAAGAACAATTATTGGGTAACCTAATCAGATATCAGAAGAAAAGAGAAAAAAAATCCTTGTATGTAATCTGTAAACTACACATACATGGAGTTGGTCTTATGAATTTCTTGATCTGCAAATGAGTTCTACCCCCAGATCCATAAACAGTTATAATCAAAAATAAGAGCAGAACAGAACAAAAATTTTGTTATGTGATTAGTTTGTTCTGTGATAACATCGAAAATTGTTAACTGTATACAAAAATACAGAAAGAGCCTTTTCCCACTACATTCTGAGTGTAAAGGACAGTATGAATAATGGTATTTTATTATATGCAGACAGGTGCAAAGTTGGTGAGGAAGAGCCCCTTTTATGCATTTTTTTTTTTAATGTTTTCTATAAATCTGCTGTTTTCTTGCAGCTATTGTATGTAATATAGATCCCCAAACTGATCTGTTGAGAAAGACAACCAGTCAAACAGTAACAAAAGCAATGCTGTTGTCTACACACTAGAAGAACAAGTAACAATATACTGGGCTTAGACATACCAGATTTTCTCCCTCCATTGTAAACCATCGGGAGACCAGAGGTCCAGCCAGGTTCTTCCCCAGGGTCCTGGGTGTGCTGAGGCACTTCTAAGTGGCTGGGACTGAACAGTTCCTCCACATTTGAGAGAGCATAATTTCAGTTCTGGCTAGACAGATAGATGGCAGAGGCACGTTCCTACTCACTGAACATGCACCCAAAGATCAGACATAAGTATCTTCTGATATAAATGTCCTCTTACTCTGTAAACACATGAGCTTTCAGAAAAGATTGCATGATATACATTCCGCAGCAAAACTGGACTTTCAGAATTATCAGTGGAGACATGTCAGCTCCAATGTGCTTGTACATATGCAGCTATTTTGTACTCTGTACAGAACTACAAGTTTCTGTTATTGCCCAAGGAAGTAAAGAAAGCATTCTCTTTTGCACTTCAGCAAAAACCTACTTTAAAATATGTTAAAAATAAACCCAAAATTCTGAAAAAAAAAATATTAATTTGATTAGCATATCTTTTAGATATGAACTAATTGCTGGAAAGCATTTATTTGTTTTAAACTTTCTCACAGAAATGACCATCAATAGACTTACAAAAGGTTTCAGTCTCACTTGAAACAGTAAGAAACCACCTTTGTTGCACCTTCTCAGTGCACCAGTCTAACTGAACTAGTGAAAAATGAAAGTAGAAAGAGGAGTCTTTCTGGACTTTATACCATCTTGGACTTCCTATAAAACGGTGTAATCCTCATACAAAGCTATGTGCCACCCCTTTCTCTATATCTGATAAAAAAACATTGTTTTGAACAGAAGCCAGTGTTGCAAAGTTATACTGACTTCCAAAGTGCTAAGCCAATGTTCCTACTGAAGCAAATAGTAAAAGCAAGGCTGTCAATCAGGAACTATGAAGGGCTGTGGTGTTACAGTTTAATCCATACAGTGCCTGAAAGTTGTTACCTCATTAATCTTAAAGGGAGGCAGGGAGGCACGGTGAAAGCAGTTATCAGTGGTGCCAAAAACACACCATAAGCATGTCTCCATGGTACTGAATATATCTAAGTGGAAAGTGCTCTGAAACTGTAAATACTGTATTCAACCTATTAATCTGGGCTTATTAATTTTGCGTTACTGTAGCTATGCTGCTTCATGGACCAAGGCAGTATCTCTAAATGTAGCCAAAACATGGTTATGAAAACAGACTAGTGCTGGCTCAAAATTTTTTTGTGTTGTGCTCCATTACATGTACGGATAAGTCTAGCACTGGGTCCCATATGTGTTATGGGAATACACTTGGTTACCACTTGCTGTTGAAGAAAATGTGGAAGATCAGCCTGATGAAAGTCATCCTTAAGTGTACTGATTCCAGAAATGGACTTTGCTCCTCTTTCAGCATGAAGAAACTTATGTAAGCTCTAAATGATGTCTCTTAAAATGAAACGTCTCAAATTCACTATAGATGTAACGTAATCAAAGACATTGAGATAATTGATTTTGACTGGTTTTAGACATTTGTTTACATATTTTAAAAATAGACTCTGTAATATAAAATCATACATAGATGGGTAAAAAAGTGTAAAAATGCCATTATGTATGTTCATGTAAGCAATAGTAACAACTGCCTAAACAGAACTCATCTTAGGCAAGCTGCAGATGCTTGAACAACTATTCTTAGTCATTCCAAAAGTGCTTCATTTCCTTAGCTACTGCATTATTTGGTGTTTTCATCCTATTTACCTTATTTTGCAGTCTAACAGGGTCAATACGAGGTCAGTATGTAATGGTCTATAATGAGCTGGTATCTGCGGCTGTGGAGACCAGACATAATTTCTGTAGGTGAGCTTGCCATTTTCTGCATGTTTTACTGTTAGTTATTAAAATGCCTGGTGGTGAGCATGATGTTCTGTTTAGCTGCAGCTTCTGTACCTTATTCAGCCAGGGATCATCTCAGTGGGTTCTCTGGAAACATTCTTGTTACTAGCTTACTTCTTACTCAGAACTGGATACATATTTTATACAGCAGTTCAGTAAAATACTGAAGTAGGTTAGTAAAAAAGGTGAAGGCATATTTACTCAAGAGCGCTTTGTATTGTAAAACATAAAAAAGCAAAATTAGAGTCAATTAAAAATGTCCAAGTGCTACAGTGATAAAATTTTATGCATTCTGGTTCAAGTATTGTAGTCCTTCTTTATATAAAATTTCCTCTTAAAGTGTCATAATATTCAATAGGAAATTTAATCTCACAAAAAATCATTACTGTTTAGAAGGTGGCAGCATTTGTCATTATGCAGTTGTGTGGCCATAAGACAAATGGTAAAATTCAACCATCTATTTAGCCACTGGCTAGAACAAGCTCCTCTTCTTGAATAAAGGACAAAGGACAAGACTGGGAAAGGCCATGTGTTATTTTACACTATTACCAAAAGGGTTAGGCAGCACACAACAGTGGTTATCAGAAAAACAAGCTAGAGAAATAAAGTAAGAGAAAATCAAATCACTGTCTCCAAAATGACAGACCAAACTTTATCAGTGTGCTGCCTCAAAGGCACCCTGTCTGGCAAAATAAATACAGGTGATTTAGCCTCTCCACACAGAATCATCTTCTCTGTTCACCGCCCCCTTGTACACCATCTTGTAACAAAACATTTTTCCTCTACTTTCTGTTGTTTTTTACGTATATGATACTTGCTTCTCAGGCACTACTGCTGAGAAAATTCCGTATGTTAAATAAGCTACCAAGCTACATTATAACCACTATCCATTTATTCAAACATAAGCATGACCATACTGGATGAGACCCAAGACTCATGTCTACTTTGTCTCCAGCAGATCCCTAAGCCACAGTATAAAAATGGGGCAATCAACTGGTGTTTCCTGTGGATCTTTTCCTACCTTCCAATAATATGCAGCTCATTAATTTCATTAAGCAAATATGTTTATATTTAACGCCATTGACAGATTTTTCTCCATCTTCCCAAACTCCTGTAAATTTAAGTTTTCAAGGTCTTGCAGCAAAAAGTTCTTCAGAGTAACACATTTTGGTTGTATGAATCTACCATCCACTACTTTTTGTAATCTAAGAGTAATAAAATCTACACTTTCTGTAATCTAGATTATTAACCACTGTCCCCTGTACTCCTTATGGGAGCCTGACTTGGCTGACATCTTGCATATTTTTTTTCTCGCCAGTCAGAGGAAGGTGGCCTTAGTATGGATACTTCTGTTGATACTCTTCAAATTCGAGTGACTTTTTTGCTGAAATTGCAGTATCGGTACATATATGACTTTTTCCTCACTCCTGTATGCTGTGTTTTTGCATTATCTGCATTTTCTTCCTTAAAAGTGAGGACGATTTCCTGCCCCCCGCCCCATGCATGCACATTCTGTTTCCAAACCCAGTGTGTCAGGACCCCAGTAGTATCAAGCGTTAATTAACTGCAAGAATATTACTCTCTTTATTTCAGTGCACGATTTCCATGATACCTGTTTTATCACCATGTAGTAAAGGAAGAAAAGTCAATATATATATATAATAAAAACAAAGGGGGTTTGGCCACTTACCAGGTGAAGATAAGACATAGTAAGGTAGATATTAAAATGAGGACTTGGTTAAACATTGCAGACTGTGTGCGTTGGATGGCTCTGTGAAGATCATTCTGTATTAATGGAAAATACATGTTATTTTTGGTTTTGAATTAATAAGGCATGAGCTGATTCTATAGAGGAATTATATAGTGCCCTCATAAATGCAGTCATTCAAATACACTTAGAATTTGCTGATCATATAGAAGGGTGCAAAAGAGCCAGCTGTGGTTCTGTGATTATTTAACTAGTTCTTTGTTCACACTGGCACAATCCTGATGCTATTGCAAGCTGCCTTAAGGTCTGTCTGCTCATGTCTAGCTTACAAATTACAGGCTGCAAGGACCAATTAAGGCATAGCAGTTGAGTTCCCTGCAATTGCATAGAAATGGAAGAGTAGCAAAAGAACCAGCCATTCCAAATTTCCCTTATTGGCACAGTAACAATTTATACTAATTGAGATTTCACTGATGTCTTAAATTTTTCTACTTTTGATGCAGAAATCAGTTTAGCAATGCTTGACCATTTGTATAACCTAAATATGGATCTTGTTAGCTTCGTATTAAAGTTGGACAGTGGGCCATACTGCCAAAATCCCACTAAAGACAAAAAAAACAAAAAAGAAACTCTAAAAGAATTATTTCCTTTGTCATACTTACAATCATATTCTCTAAAGCATGCTTTGCCAGCCAACAATTTAAAAAAACAGGAATAAACAGGTTTCTTAGGACTGGCCAGAAAATCTGAAATAAAAATTAACAAATTCATTAAAAACTCTTCTATTAAAGAATAGACTTTTTCTATTAAAGCAGCAATGAAACACTTGGGAAAAATACTTATTATTTACATGTTTCTAGTGTGAGACATTGCTTTAAATAACATTTTTTTCTTCTTTTGTGATGAACTCTATGTAAGGTAATTTGATAAAATAAGGACAGTCAGTTTTCAGTGCAGACACCAGAGATTCTTAGATTTTTATATCTACCTGGTTTATTTTATTGATTGTGTTGTAGTTTGAGTTAGAGGGTTTGGTTTTGTTTGTCCCCTATGTGGAGGAAAGGGAAAGTGATCTGTATTATTATAATACTTCATTCAAGTAGCAACTATCTTCCTCTTGTTGACAAATTTCTGTTCCTACAGGCACAAATTTGTCATCCCCATAAGATTCAATATACTTAAATAAAAATTAAGAGTATTTGTGCAGCTGTAAAAGTGCAACGTACAAATGTATTAATTCAAATATGTTTACCGTGATGATGAAAGGGACAGCATTAATTATTTCCAGGAGAAAGGGTATTCTCAGAATTTGTTCCCAGATATTTCCCTTCAAAGAAAAGGAAAAAAACCCATCATGTCATAGCAGACTTACATATAGTTCTGATGAGAAATATATGTGATAATCCATTGCCACATATGGAGTCCCTCCCACTAGCTGAATTTCAGGAAGATCATTCACCTCAGATATAAACACATATGTCAAATATGAATATAGAATATAGGCCACTCTGGCCTATTTTTCTTACTGTTTATCACAATGTACCTCAAAGGTAAAAATGTATACTTTTAAATCGGTATTTTTCTAGAGTGGTTCTCTGTTTCCATACGACCGTATTTTTCCTATGACCTACTTAGTAAGACAGCTCAAATGAATTCTAATTGCATTAACTAGTCAACTTATTCTCTCAGCTAATGAAGAGCTGAAATTAAGTTGGGTTTTTTTCAAAGCATAATATGCTCCTGTTTTCTTCTATTGCATTTTTAGGTACCTTGGAATCAGACACAGACATCTTGTCTCTGTTACTTCATTCTTCAAAGGTTAGTTTACCTTTATTCTTACATGCACACATACATACAGATCAGGTGGTGAGGTTCCTGTCTTAAGCAATTTATCTTTTTAATAATTCTCATTTTTCAGTGTCTCTTCATACACATAACAGACAAATTCTTTTATCTGCAACTATTTCTACTTCTTTTTCTTAGAAGCCTCTAAATCTTTAAAATCCTGTATTACAGTGCTTTAGCTTTTGACTGTGCCAAAGTTTTTCTTACTTTAATCCTTATTGTCTTAAAGTGTCTAACAACTAGAGGCAAGGCCCTAGTACAGCCTTAGGAGTTCCAGAGACATATACTCAAAAGCCACAACCCACTCAGAAGACTTTGTACCATCAAACCAATTGTTTTGATCATCTCTATGCACAAGAGATTGCCCTGTAGTCCATACTAATGTTTGTTATGAGCCACTCTCCATACATCCTTCTGATAGAAATTCATGGCAAAATATAAAGCAAAAGAGGAATGCAAATATGTTGTATTTTCCAAAGAAAAAATACCAGCCCATTTTCTCTTAGTTTTGTTCCGTTATCCTCTGCATGTCAGTCACAGACATCTGGGTATGTCTCTTTATTGATTCTAATCCTGCTATTAAGATATTAACTTCTTAAGAAATAAGTACTAGAAAGAAGAATTAGTTTAGTATTCTATAGTGAGTCCTTCCTTCATTTGCATTTATCTTCTTTTATGTTTACTTTGTATTTTCTTTTACCAACTGTTTTGGAAAGAGAAGTAAGGAAGAGAGTCTAGTGTTCAAGATCAAACGTATTTCTGTATTTCTGCCACAAACATCTCAGTACACTTCAGGGCTTTCTGGAACTCGATCTTGCTTACATGAAATTAGAGGTCTTATTGCAGTGAAAGTGGCACTGATCTTTTAATCTGCACGGGGATAATACTATTCCTTTCCACATTTGAGCAGTGATTGTGAATGATTAGATGTTAGGGTGAAAATCCATATATTTAAAAAAGAAGGTAGTTAAAATTCAGTGACTTACAGCATTAATAACTCTGTATTATTGACTCCATCACAGGTAATGCAATAACAGTGTAGCATATATAATGTCAATAATACAAGAATTCCCAGTACAATCTTGTATTTTTAGTCGCAATGACATATGAATCTTTTCTATTAAAAAAAAATCTTATATAACCACTGAAAATTAAATACAAGCTCCATAGCATATAAAATTCTTTTTCTATTTTTAACTTCACATCTGGAAGCAACTGTACCTATGGGACAGGGATTATTGTCTTTCATGTAATTGTAATTGGTGGGAGTTAGGCAAACTTGAATAATATTAAATATTTCATATGATAAGCAGCCCTGTAAACATAAGTGAAATTATGTGACTGTAAACTGAGGTTTTATTTGTAGGAATAATAAACTAAAAAGAAAATTTGATTTCCCCAACTGACCCATTCTGTATTTTCACTAATTTCCTCATTTTTAATGTTAAGAGCTTTCTCTTCTGATTTATAGAAAATAAATGTCACATAATTCATTTTGTGCAGGCAAAAATGCCTGTGCACAGATGTGCTCCAGGTACTTAGTGATGTGCTCAGCTGTAAGATTCTGGTTTCCACATACAAATGCATCATGACTTCTGCAAAACTGCCTTATGCAGTGAGAATGTGTGGTACTGACAAAAGCAGCTAAGACTGCCTGCGTGCCAGTGATATAGTAGGATTGCCAGATGTCTGTGACAAGTTTTGGCAATGAAAATTTCTAATGTAGACATCTTTCAGAATTTTGGCCAAGGGCAAATCCTCATGTAATGGATTAAGCTGTGAGAATGCAGATTGTAAACCATTCATTCCTGGATCCAAGTGATCAGCAGTGTAATACAGTGCTACATTCTTTGCATTCCTCCCCATATAAAAGCAATTTAAAAAAAAAAGCAAATGTACTGTATCCTAGTAGCATGATATACTATTATGTCCTCACTGTTCTCCATATTGAATCATCTCTCCTGTGTTACCAACCAACTATCAGAATAGTAAATTCCTTGGAGTATTCTCTTAAATGATTGGTTTATTTATTTTACAGGTTATTTGTGAAATCCTAGCAATGTGCACACAAATGCAAACACAAACACAATCATCTTTTTCTTGTTGTTTTCTTCCTGACTCATCCTCTGACTTCTGCCTAAATTGTAAAAACTTTGGAAATGTTGGCATGAAATAAGTAATCTGGCACAGATTTGCATGAAGCAAGACTCCTTCGGTCATCCTGGCTCTGCAGAATGGCCTTACTTCTTGGCGTCCTGAGACTGGATAAAACTGGGGTAAGTAGCTATATCATGACATTTCCAGATAGCAACTAAGAGGACAGGACCGGAGAGAAGGAGGTGTTTGCATCTGGTGGATTCCCAAAGTGCATTTCAGTACTACCATTCTTCCTTACATTACTTTTATGCCCTTATGGGGAGTAAAAATACAGCCATCATAAAATTGCCTCAACTTCTGTGACAGGTATATGCAGCAAATTAGAATAATAGAGCTTCATACTCACTGCACACTAATAAGTAACTTCTCATGGGAGCTGACTTGCCAATATTTCTCTCATCTTCTGTACTCGCTGAAATGGATGCAGACCACAAGCAGAATGGATAGGCATAAAATGGTGCCCAATAAATTCAGGAACAGTATAAATTGTGATTGCTCTTTACTGTTGTGGCAGTAAATGTGTTAATTTTGGATTGTTTCTGCCTATGATTTGCTTGTGTAACCCCAAACAGTTCCATACTATATGCTACAAGGATTAGAAGAATAATTTTTAGACAGTAGACAGTTTTAAGCCTCTTAGCATTATTGGGTGTTAAGGAAAACATTTACGCCATAATCACTTGATAAGCACACTAAAGCACAACTGTTAACTTCAGTGGTGGCTCTGATAGCTACTTAATGTCAGAAATTAAATTTTTTGGTTTTTTTTAAAAAAAGATTGTACTTTAAGATATTTTCAGCCTTAGAAACCAAATGTTTTCATATTTATTTTGATAAATGATTTTACTATTTTCCTCCTGAAGATACTAAAAATGCGGAGTACCCAGAACTCACTAGTATAGTACATGACAAGATGTAATGAAGAAAACTGAATAAAAACACTAGGAAAATATAACTTTTTAAGAAGAATACAAATAGATACTGCATTCACTTCAGATGATTTCAAGGCATTTTGCAAAGATGTTCCAATAGCATCAGAGCGATGGATAACACAAATATGTAGGCATTCATAATTTTAAAAAGTACTGTCTTGGCTATTTTTTTGCTGTGCAGTTTTAGAGGCCTGAAACTTGAGTTATAGATGCTTGAGGTATATATACTTGAGTAGCTATGGCTTTGACACCAATGAGAATCGTCTCCATAGCACTATGGATAGACATATAAAACTATGAAACTTGAAAAATCATAATCCAAAAAGACAAGGCCACTTTTTAGAATGTGTATTCAAATTTCAGTGTGCCAGTGGACAATGGAAACAAATGGAAATTTTATTTCTGATTTCCACTCTTCAGATATTAGTGTTTAATCATAAATCTAGATACATGAACAGAGCTGCCTATGACAACATGCTGTCCTCTATATGTGTGTTTTTCTCAATTTCCTGCTTGTACATCAGTGTGGGCACAAATGCAGGCACATTAATTTTATACTGAAACATTTAACTCAAGTTACTTTTTGTGATGAATTATGCTTAAAATAACTAAAAGTACTTACCTTGTAGCTTAGATAACTCAGCAGCAGAGTTTCAAAGAGACTTATTAAAGCCACAGAAACCTTAAATGAAGTGATATGTGTATTAATAATGTCTTCTAAAGAATATATAACACCAAGCATTACAATGAAAAGGAAAAGATAATAAAAAATTGCTTTTCCATGCATCCTCTGAAACCATCCTAGCTATAGCATTTACCATGAAGCTTAAATACTGTTATTTTTCTGACTAAAGTACAGACTATGACTTCAGTCTCGTTGCTCTTTTCCAAGTATAACACTCCAGAGAGTCTGTAAGGTGACCCTTCCATGGGTTTTAGGGAGCTCCATACACAGTCTGTGATTGTTTCTCAAGATTCAGTTGTCTGTTCCTAAAAGGTACCGACATCTTTTTGCAAGATAGAGAGAAGGAGGAAGCTGCAAATAATGGAAGCTAGTCAGCTTTTTCCTTTATTGTAAAGATGTTATGAATGTGTAGAAAAAGTAACACTTTTCTTACTGTGTATAATTCAGAATGTTGAAAACAGAAAAATAAAATAAAAAAAACCACAGATGAATCATTATTGATTTTAATATATAAATACAACTGAGATCAATTTATCAGCCTTCACTTATGTTATATGTAGTGTATGTATTATGTATTTATTGTGTATTTGGTTTAAAGTAGTCAAATATCAAAATACTAAGAATATCTACTTAAAACTTCATACATATTAAATAACTACTTGTGGTTTAACCCCAGCCAGCAACTAAGCACCACACAGCCACTTACTCACTCACTCCTTCACCCACAGTGGGATGGGGTGGAGAATTGGAAGAAAAAAGTAAAACTTGTGGGTTGAGATAAGAACGGTTTAACGACTGAAATATTATAATAATTATTACTATTAATTATTGTTGTTGTAATTCAAATAAATATAGCAAAGAGAGAGAGAGAGAAATAAAGCCCAAGAAAAGATAAGTGATGCCCAACCCAATTGCTCACCACCTGCTGACCAATGCCCAGACACTTAGTTCAGATCAGCTTATCTTTACTTTATGCTTTTGCTGTAATTGGTCATCAAGTAGATTCTTTGTTAATAACAACTTTTCTAAGTATCCTTTAACATTACCAAAATGCTATAAATCAATATAGTCATGGCTGCCCCCTCCCTGGCAGTGTTCAAGGCCAGGTTGGACGGGGCTTTGAGGAACCTGGGCTAGTGGAACGTATCCCTGCCCATGGCAGGGGGGTTGGGACTGGATGACCTTTAAGGTCCCTTCCAACCCAAACTCTGATTCTCATTCTGTGAATATTGTCTACAGTTATTAAATGGAGAAAGTTAAATTGTCCATTTACATATTACCTGTAATCCCCACAAAGGCAAGCTTCGATTCACCCAAATAATAGGAGACCTGTACATGATAATAAGAAAATAAATATGACTAATCAAAATCTGGTTAGTGTTTTGAATAAAATCAAGAGAAAAAAAATTGTACATGTGAATGGAAGTTAAAGCAGCCTTGTTTTTAAAAAAAAAATCTCAGTAATAAAAATTTTAAAGCAGTAGTTATCTACTGAGTACTGACATCACTTATATTTCTAATCAAGCACCTGTCATTGAGTTCCCATGGGAATAATCCAACACCCAGTGACATCAAAATCTTCTATTGTCTTCAATGGCTGCTAGTTCATCCCCTATGATTCCAGAAAGAATGTGCACTTTTGATTCTAGAGATCAGAGGAATAATTTTTTGTGGTAGGAATAAAACTTGACAATTCTTTTGTGTGAACTCTTTGCTATCTGTGTAAAAATATCTAACTCATACAGGCTGTCATATCTTGGAAGAATCTCACGTTGTCTTAGTATTTGCTAAACTCAATGATAACAGGCACTTGATACAGTACCACTGGAATCTGGCACACACAATGGCACAGTAGTTTACTGTTAGTCATTTACTGCTAGTCATAACTGATTTTTAAATAGAGCATACATTTTCTCTCAGCAAGGTATAAGCATTGATGGAATTTAGATCTTACAAGAGTATCCAATCCAGCAGTTCATTTATGCAATCAGAGAAATAATTAAAATAGTAAAGACAGCTTTGAATATTCAGGAACACAGAAGTAATTGCTTGAGAGTTATGGAAACATCACTATTATATGTTAAAATGTCACCATTCCAGATGGAAAGGGATTTGTCTTCCTGTTTGGCTCCCCTTCCCACTATTATCTAGACTTTCATTTTGTTTTTTTAAATTAGGAACTCACCAATCAATTGTTCCAGGTGTGTAGTTTTGATTGGAACAACTCCGGTTTAATTCCTTACTGATAGTGGTTATCCCATCCACGCAGAGTCCATTTTCATTAGCAAATGTACATGGGAGCACAATCATAAAAACATATGAAATGAATAGGATATTAATTACATTATTATGTGTTCTATCAAATGCATGTAATAGTTTGAAACCCTAGGCAATGGATATTGACATTATAAAAAGTAAAATAACTTTTAGAAAGTAGTTCTGTATGTGTTTTATATCTGAAGATAAAGGACTATGAAGCATTTCAGGTTAATTTAAAACTTTAAACATTTATTTTCAAACATGTTTCAGTTTAAAAAACACAACTGAAATTACACTTCCAAAAGCTGAACTAAGTACACAATAAATACTGAAGATCGAGAGATAGAAGAAATCCTATCACATGGATAGGCTAGGATAGGAAGAGCACATATACCTGACACACTCTTAACAGGAAAGATTGCATCAAACTACACTTTATATCCTCTTGTGAGGTTGTGAGGAGGGCTTGCGATTCATGCAGCAGTAATTCAGGTAAGAAACTGGTGACATCTATATAAAAAAATAGTTGCTACGTACATGTGATGTTATCTTGCCTTGAATTGCTGGCACAAATCCTCCCTTCAAATGGTCATGTAAGGATGTGGGAATATAAATTTGTGTAAATGATGAAAAATACCATTGTTTACCCTTGGTAAGCAAGGTCAGAGGAAAAGAAAAGGATCTGAAGAACACAGATTAGCAATAGCTGTATTTTTATCACCTATGAGTGGGACAGGTGCTAAATGGTATCCATTAATAAGGATGCTTTATGTCTTAAACTCTCCCCTGTACATTTGCTGTGCCTGAAGGATTAAAAGAAAGATACTAACTTGTGCAGGCACTTCTTAAAAACAGGAAATAAATCTGCAGGGGGAGTCTGCAATGAAAAGCATTCCTCCTAGAATTGTCAGTTTTAAAAAACAAGCAGGTGATAATGGTTTCCTTAGGCATGCTCTCAGCACACCGAGTAGTTTCCTTCATGAGGCTGTGACATAATATCTATAAAGTATGTTTTTCATAACATCGCATTTGTAAGAATGCATTATGGCAGTAGTTTAGGTAGCAAGCCCTCGGGACTCAGGATCTCTATGGGCAAAACCAATGACGTTAATGGGCAATTGGCAATGACAATAAAGGGCACAGGGCTGGTTTGTCTGGCACAGCTTCTAAAACTGGGATATTAGTGAGCATGCAGAAGTGACTTATTTGAAACTTCTCAGCTAGACAAATGTTATACAGAGATAAAAGAAACCAACTAGCCTCTTAAATGTACCACAAAACAATATAAAGGACACAGAATATACAGATAAACTCTCTGGCTGTTGAATTGTTAAACGTTTAGATTGAAAAAACAGACACGTCAGGAAAGCAGTCTGCAAGATGCAGAAAAATCTTTGCATATGAATACAAAAGTACTGAAGTATACCTGTGGCAGGAGTGCTGATGTTCTGATCTGTTTTGCATATGCAGACATAACCTTGCAGTATAACACACTCATCTTTACTCACTAAAGTTCACACATTTTTCATGTCAGAAACTATTATTAGCTTTAAAATTTCATGTCTCTGAGTTGCTGTGCTACTATCCCTAAATTTCTAAGGATGGATATTCTCTTCTCCATCGCTGTTAAAGGTTTTGTGAAATCTTCACTGCTTGTTTCTTCCCTAAACATTTCCTTTCCTTGACGAGATATTCTAAGATACATGTGCCATCAAAAAATAGTTTTTTGCAGTTCTTCCTTTTTCAGGGAGATTTTTTTTTTCCGGCCCTCTTTCAGATGTTCTAATTTCTTACAATAAATTTCGATCAAAAAAAAAAAAATCAAATGCATCTTCTGTACTTCCCATTCACACATCCTTCTCTCATGCACTGCTGAGTAAAGACAATATTCTTTAAGTCACTTTGGTTTGGATTTGATTCTTGTAAAATATAGTATTTCTCCTGTGCACTATCTTTTTTATAGTATTAGCCTTATTAGATATAACTGATTTTCAAGTATTAAAAGTCATACTTTTTCCTTTGCCTAACACTGTGTGAAGAGTGCTAGGTCTATCATCCCAAGCTTAGTATTTTTATCTGTTTTGTTCAGTATTTAAGGCCAACAGAATCAAATCAAGTGAAAGCAAGTAAGTTAATAAATTGTGGTGCTTATTAGCATTTAGAATTCAGAAGACTCAATATAACTGGGATACAAATGCAACTGAAGCATAGGATTGAATCAATTATCATTTCTTCTAACAACTGGTGGTTGATTGTACAACACATGGACAAAAAGCCCCAAAACAGAATACCAAATGACCCATCTAGATTACCATGCTGACAACTGTAGGTGTGCAAAATCATGCATTATAACTATAGATCATCATGAGTACAGAATGTACTTTTGGTCTCCCTGTCTTCTAAGTGTTTAGAGAAGGAAGCAGGCTAGAAAATTATCATCGATGTCATCTGCATGAAAGCTCAGTTTCATGTATTTGTCTGTATGTTTCCAGGATCTGGGGGTTTAAGTAAAATTATTTAAGTAAAATTCTAAAATTATTGTTGCATAAACTGGCAACCAGATATTTGCAATTTTGTTTTTATAAATATAAATATGATACATAGAAATGTTATGTAATAATACAATGAAAAGATGTAAGCTTGCACAACTATATCTGATGCACAGTATCTGAGCAAAGAGCCAGGATTATTTTAGCAGTAAAGTGAAAAAAGAATATTGTTATTTTAGTTCTTATTTCCATCCACAGTGTAAAGCTAGCTTTATCATTCTTTGAAAACATCTGCAAGACATGAAACCAAATCCCTGTTGACAGAATATCAAACAGATATTAATTAAATTTATTTATTGATTATAAATTAAACAATGCTTTGAGAGCAGAAATAACAAAAAAAATAAAAACACATTACCATACAAGTCCTTGTGTAGGGTCATCCAGAAGCACACGAATGATGTATAAGAAACAGCTTAGGAGCTTGAGAGAAAAATTGAATAATCGTATTCTCAGACCTATTTTAACAAGAAAAGATAAACAGATAAAAAGATAAAGATTAAAAAGATAAAAATATAAAGATAAAAAAAGATAAACGGAGATAAATTCAGGTTCTTCACAGTTCCATCTACTTTTAAAAAAGAACTAAAAGGAATTAGAATAGCCATGCTATATCAGAGCAAAGTCAATCTAGCCAGTTATCTGTTCCTGATATGGGCAACTGGTGTATCATACAGAAGAATAAGTAAGTATAAGTCTGTCAGATATATATATAATGAACCTATCCACCTTCTAGAAATCTCTGAGTTAAGACTCAGTCTGTTTTAACTCAAAGAACTACTCAGTCATTTGTCTGAAAGCTATACTATGCCATTTGTCTTTCCTGATGACATTCTTTGGGTCTTTTGTAGTTTTTCAAGTCCACTTTCTTGAAAGGCAAACCAGAACTATATATGGCATTTGAGATGCAAGATACAGCAGTATGAAGAAGACATACTTTCAACCACAGGCAGAGGATATACAATGGCAAGTACTTAAATATTAGTATCTGAAAGTCTGCATGCAGTAGGTTTCATACAGAATTTATTAAGACTATCCCAACTTACAAAATATTAAACTGTAGTTATTTAATTTGAAGTTCTGTAATTATGCATCCAAGAATCAGACATCTGAAAATCATGCTGAATGCACAACTGAACTGAATCAACAACTTGTTCTGCAGACCATATGAATATTGAAATGTTCTAGCTGAAAGGATCTATCACAAATACTACCACAAAATATTACAGCATTTCCCACAAAGACAGGGTTCCTTCAAAGGGATCCACATGGATACTGGCTTCTGTCACATGAAAAATTTATTGCAGTGCTAGTTAGAGCTGTAATATACTGCGATGAAACTTAACCGTAATTTAATCAAATTTTGCAGTAATTAGTAGAGAATTAGAATATAAATTTTCAGTCTTGTTAGATTCAATAGTCTTAAAATTTTAGCAGTGTAAATATTTTTATCTGACCCTTGGTTTTAAGGTTTCATTGATTAATTAAGTTAAAATTGTCTGTTGACTAAGGATAAGTGAGGGGAGGTCACTTTAAGCATTAATTTTTTTCAGTCTTGTGAACTCAAGAGCCCAATTCTGCATGGCTGAACTCTTCCATCCAAAGCTGAATACCACTGATGGAATCTTACACAGATGTGACTTCATTTGCAACTAGTTATAGTAAAGATAGTATCGTTTATTGTCGTGTTGCAATCAGTAGGTCTGCTGAACTCAATATAATTACTTCTATGGTTTAAGAACTACAGCTTCACTATACATACTCAAAGTTGTGTGCAGACATTCCCTTTTAAGGAACAAATCATAATTATCTAAATGTAATATTACATACTTTTTCACTTTACTCAGTCGTAAGCTCAAAATGAACACGTTACAGATAAAACTGATAAATCACCTTTTATATCCATTAGTTCCCCTCCCATTAAAATGCAATCTACAGTAAACAGAAAAATAGAAAATAGATTCTTACATATTGCACTATGCAATTGCTGAAAGAAATCCTAAGGTTTACAACACTGCTTACTACTTTTAACTGTGAAGTTTATCACATGAGAGAGTACTGGATGGACTTTTACAGCATTGTGTAATCTGTAAACTAGGGGTTAAAATCCTGTGGTCCTGACCATGAGAAAGTCCCACAGCTGTCAGCAATTAGGTTTGTGAACATTAACCTAGTGATTCCTGCTGTCCTATCAAGAGTAATTAGGCAGAGACTATTTATTCCCAAAAAAGATGAATGAAGGGTTTGGAGTAGTAAGTGGATTGGCAGGGTCTGAAGGAGCTATGTGTAAGGTGTGTTATCATGCTATTATTTGACTAGAAAGGTAAGTTCAGTACTTTTTCCTGGGAAATGCTATGATCTTTTCTGAACTGTTGCTGAAGAAAACATGAATTGTTTGTCTGTACTAACCCTTTTGTGGAAGTCTGCTGGAGTATGAATGGTTGCTATAACAACTAGGCTATTACAAGAAGAACAGGATAATGTTTGAAAAAAATCAAAAACAACAAATGAAAAAAAAAAAAAACAAAACCAAAAAAAAAAAAAAAAAAAAAAAGCCCAGCCCATCAGGATTTCTTATCCTTACCAATTTTGTGTTGTCTAACTTAAATCAACACAGAAGTCTGTTGTTTCTTTGGGGTTTTAGCTCTGTAAGTGTTAATTTTGGTGTAAACACTTCTTTCTGCAATTTGATAGTGGCCTAGATTCTAGTCATCATTTGATATTGTATGTTGGTTTAAATGCCAAATGATGGTGCTTTTCTGATTAAATCTACATCAATAAAAGGGACCCATACTCCTGCCCGCTGCCTTAAACTTAACTCTCAAATCTTAGTCCTGAAAGATCTAGAACTACTTACATATTCAAATTTTTTAAATTCCATAGATCTATTCCAGGCTATGCTTAAAAGTGCTTCAAGCTCTAGATATCTCCACAGGAATGACTGTTTCCCACAGCATATAAGGCAAGAGTTTTCACACCAGACATGTTTTCATCTAAGGATTCTAGTTAGCATAGATATAGAATGCACATCATGGACTGTGTTTTATATGTTTATGTTTAAAGTAAGGCAACAGGTTAGGTCTTGTACCATATGTGATTGGGTCAGGTATTACAATATAAATATGGAAGATCAGGCTTCAAGTCTATCCTGTTTCAGAAGGTCACCTCTCCTAGTTCTGTATGCCTCAGCCTTTAGAAATAAGATGTGTCATCACAGGGAGAATATTTAGTCACCCCTGATAAAGCTTTAATAATTAATGTAGGACTACCAAGTAAGTATTCTCTCTGGTCAAAATCTTCTGTAGCCTCATAGTTGGGGATGTCACCTGTGAGTTAGAAGAAATGCATTTATTCCACTAGCATGGAGATCTAGGATTTCAAATATGGGAAGGAGGGGACAGTCACTAGAGAAGGCATTTAAAATGGGTTTTCATTTATTACTCTGCTACAAAGAAAGTACTTCATATTTTGTTTGCTACCTATTTTTGTCCCCTGTTTTACATGTTGTCAGTGGATCAACGTGGTCTGCTTTACTTAATTTATTTTTTTCCATTCACAGCCAGATTGTTCAAGTAGCAGGGTCATTTGCACAGAATATCTCTATGTTTTGGCACTGGTGCCTGAAACTTGTATTCAGCTACATCAATCATACTCTGTTATGCAGTTATGAATTGTTTAATGAGACTGTAATTTCACTGTGTCCATGTAACCATGGTGCTACATCCTTTGTCTTCTTTAAAAGAAGAAATTGATTATAACAGTTCAAAATATGTTTGTTTTGTGAAATAAATATAACTACATCAAATGTTAATGTTTCCTTCTCAGTTTGAACAAGTATTTGCTACTTTTTGGAGGCATTTTTAAGTACAGAGGGATACATGATACTTCACCAGTACTGACTGTGACTTTCATTTATATTATAAATTCTTGATGCTTCCCTTACAAGCATTTTTGGAGACTAATCCTCTGATTTAGAGTGCTGATCTAAATCAAAGCTAGATTGACAGAGATAGCAGCTGAAGTTTTTACAATCACCTTCCATTATTCCTTTCTCGTAAGTCTCATATGTTTTTGGTTTTTAGCAAAATCATCTCAGTAGCAGCTGGCTTTAGGAGTTGGATCAAATTATACTATTAATAATTTATATCCTGGTGATGGCTATCTTTTATTCCCTCTCCACTGAATTGAAACTTCACTTTTTTTTTTTTTTTTCCCTTTGAGACTTATTTTAGGCTGTGATAATGCAGTGTGTGATCTTGGCAAGTACAATTGAGTCGTATGTACCAATAAGTCACCTTTTTTTTTTTTTTTTTTTTAATTTTTGGGTTGACACCTTTGTAGAATGCTTTTCATCCATTTGTTGAATTTGAATAGATGTTTGCTTGCAGAAGATTTAGTGGAAATTAGGGTGACATCACACATAGATGAAGGCTTGTTCTATCCAAAACGAGAATACTGAATGAAACCATTGATATTTCATGCTATCAGCCTGTATGCTATTTAGATCAGAATAGTACTCTGTAGAAAATTGATACAAATTCTAGAGTTGACTGCTCTGGTTGACAGAACCACATGGTATTACACTCTGATGTGTTAAATTCACTTATGAAGTCTTAAGGATTAGCAAAACCAGGTGGGTTTTTTTTTTACTACAGGTGACATGTAGTTTTACTTAGTTATACTACCTGAAAATCTGCTGATGCTACTGACAATTATTTTCTCAGTGACAGTAATTACATCTTTAGTATGTGAAGGGAGGTTTCCAGTGTTCTCACTGAATACTGACTAAGATCTAAAGGGCAATATCCTCAAATTTCAATGTGTACACTTCAGTGAGTGGCAAGTACTATCTTAGCAGAAGGTTTTTTGGAAATTGCATTTCAGAGGATTCTGGTTGTGAGTATTTGAACAGGAACCAAGATCTGCATAAGCAGAATTTGACAATTTACTATTTTTTCTTCATTCAGTACAGTAATAGTTTTGCTGTATTTCCTGTTTGTTTCTCCTGAAAACTGCCTTGTTTAATGTCTAATTGTTGGTTAAGCTTCTTGTATCATGAGAACCAGTAGCAATGCCTGGGTAACCTGTGAGATTCTAGTGGGAAATGGCATGCCTATGACGTATGCTGCTGTAAGTACAGTAAGCACTCTCATTCTCCAACTTACTTTCCATGAAATGGCTGAATAATTCAGCAATAGAGAAAACATGCCTCATCTCTTAGTTTTCTTTGGAGTCCTCTCCTGAGGACCTGTCAGAAAAAGAAGGCACCCATAATGACAGTGTCTCTGCTAGTTCTCTACAGAAATAGACATTACTGTGTTCTCATTTCTTTATGAAGAACACAGCATGCTTCTACAAAATTTACCTCAACTCTGTGTAGGAGAATTCATCAGAATCTAGATTTTTCCAGCAATCATCAAGCAAGCCAAGCAGGAAGGTTCTTGTGCTACTTGTCTAT